ATATTTTAATTAATGAAGACAGACTTCTGCAACACACATGTCCATGCCAGAAATGTTGTCACTGGAGGCAAAATAGGAATGAATGTAGGAGGCAGGGGCACTTATGCCACAGAAAGACTGTGTGGAAATATGTCTGTGCTCAAACAGAAGCCCAACGAGGCAACATGAAGTAGGTACAATTCCGTGACATGAGGTCACTGCAGAGGGCCTGGTGTCCAAGGACTAGAGGCATGGGAAGAGAGCTGGACCAGAGTCTATGAGTCAAGGAGCACTGCGAGGGCACATTTCCATGGGCCGGCTGGAAGAGGAATCCACAGATGTTTGCGGGTGGGAGTGGTGGCAGCGGGAGAAAACAAGAGTAAACAAGGCTTACTTCACTCAGCAGGCCTACCCATCCCTAATGGTGCTGCTACTTGGCTCTTGTTTCTACCCTTGAGCCATTTTCTGTCAAACAGAAAGTATCTGACAAACAGGTACCATCTTAGACTAATTACCTAGAACAAACGTTCCCTGAAAAGGGTCAAAGGACAGTTAAAACCTGGCAACCCTGATGTAAGATGAAAGCAAGTGGGGACTGTTAAAACCAGGGAAGACCCCATAGTATGCGCTGCCGATGTAAAAATCCCAGAGAGAATTCCTGGTTATTAGAGTTGCCTGCGAGAATATGCCAGTCTGTCTAGTAGTGAGCTGCCTATCACTGAGAGTGTTCATTGGGAGGTGGGTATGTGGGACAGGAGGTTCTTGCAACAGCCAGAACAGCAACCCTAAGAGTATTCTATGACTAATCAACCTACAATAAAGTATGGATGGTCTCCCTTCTGAGGGATACAATCATGAACCTAAGAGTCCCTGGCAAGGTGGAGGAGCAGTGATCACAATCAGCGATGGGGATGATGGAGATGACTGGGCCATACTCCTCAATTTCTCCTCCCAAACTGGCTGGGAAGGTGGGAGTTCTGTTCCAGATTCCTCTCCTATAACCATTCTTTCCCCTCTCCGCTCTCCTCCGTTTCCAAAGCACTTTGTTCACGCTGAAAGCCACAGAATAACCACAGAAAATAAAAACTCTTTGGATGATGATCTACTGCTATGCTTTTCTCAGCAAAATGGAACTGCATGACCGCCTTGCGATGGGCGGAGTGGCAAAGCCTAATGGTGCACGTCCCTTTATCAGAACCAGGCTCATGCCCCTCCACACGGGGGATATCTAGCACTGTGCGGAAGGTGTATAAATAAGCCCACGTCCTACAAGTCCATTTTACCTGAACATCCAGGGGAATAAACACGTCATCTGTTTGTACCGATTGGTTCAATAAAATGAAACAGCACGGCAGAGAATGCAAAATTCACTTGATTTTTAAGATTAAATATAAAAGTGCTTAAAGAAAGTGCTTGCTTAGATGGGGGAGTATCTGTGGCTAGGTTTACAGATCCCTGAAGAAATACATTCTTCTGGGGCACCTGGGTGGCTCAGTCGTTGAGCATCTGCCTTTGGCTCAGGTGGTGATCCCAGGACCCTGGGATCGAGTCCTGCAGGGAGCCTGCTTCTCCCTCTGCCTATGTTTCTGCCTCTCTCTGCGCCTCTCATGAATAAATAAGTAACTTAAAAAAAAAAAAAAAGAAATACATTCTTCTCCACAATAGGGTACTTTGGTAGAAAAGCTTCATAAGAAAAGATTCACTCCACAATCTTTAGATAACGATCCTTGCCTTCTCTTGGTTTTCCTATAGAAGGTCCAGAAGGATGTTAGCCCCTGAAGATAAGCTGTGCTTGAAGCCAGCTATATGAATGGATCCCAGTAATTTTGGTTTTGGTCTTCTAGATCATAGCCTTCCCCTACTCAGAGAACTCCTGAGTTCTTTAAAATCCGCGTATAGATATTTAAATGCAATAACTTTCAGATTCTTTTACCAAAATATCATAAAGCTGTGCACAAAGCTGTTTTACAAAGTATAAGGATACTCAAAGCAGGAGAGTAGCTAGGAAAACCTCCCAGGCCTGTAAGCACACACGAAGTACGTTTTGGGAACGGGGCCAGCTACCAAGGGCAAGCCTTACCTGAGTACAGGTGAGACAGGCAGCTTGCTCTGTGTCTAATTAGAGAATGTGGAAAAATACTCTTCCTACCGCTCAGTCATGGTGGCTGTAGTTTCGGGGGCTGGTTCTTCAGGCATTTCCACGTGCTGCATCACAAGTTTATGCAGCAAGCATGTATTACGGTGCCCAGTTTACACATGAGAAAACGGAGGATGAAGGGGATGAAAGTTGCCCAAGCCAACTACCTAACTTACAAGTAACATGACCAGGATTCAGACTCGGGTCTGACATTTTTTTCACCATGTCTTTTTTTTCCACTCTATCATTCTGCTCTTTCCTTCAAATCTATTTTTTTTTGCCTTAAACAAACCGTTTCCTTAATACAGTAATCATTAGATTGCTTATTATCCACCTAAAGTTCAATTTGAGGCTTTAATTTCCTATTAGCATTTGTGATGTGAGGTTAGGGTGTCAATGCGAGGCTGCTTTGTTCTCACAGAATCTTCTACTGTGCTGGGATTATTTAACTGCTATTAGGGCATAATCGATGCTTCAGCTGTCTGTAGAAGGGTCTGACACAAAAGCACCCATGTATCAGGCAAACCAATCTAAGCTCTAGCATTTACAGTTCTCTTTCCTTAACAGGTACAGTTTTCTGGTCACAGCTGGAACTCTACTTATTTGTTTGTAGTGGGGCAAGGTTAATAGCCACAAAAGAAGTAGCCTAAATCTTCCCTGCAGTAGGACCAAAAGGTGCCTTAGCTATTCCTATTACATTTAGATAGACAAGACACCCTCCCTGTCAATCTGTCCTGGGTAGAATAAAATGGAAAAACAAATGATCCAAATTGATTTTTATTTTCAATATCTCTGGATACAGACACAAGGCTATCTTATTCCAAGAAGTACTGTGTCACCACAAACATCTTTTTCTGTTTTTTTTTTAAATCATTGATTCTCTCCTCTCTTTTCTTTGAATCTAACAATTTCTAAAAACTGTCCATTTTTCTCTTTTACTCCACACAAATAGCTTCACTGTATGTCTGACCTCCTTTCATGAAACATCATTGTAATTTCTCTAGTGTTGTCTCTGACTAGATTAGTCCTCCAGGCTCCTCATAACTCCTGTTTATAGTTTTGTAGCCCTGTCAAAGTCAGTTTCACTGCTCATTCCAGATAGGCTCTCAGCCAATATATTGCCAATAACACTCACTCTTGTGCTAACTTAAAATACACAGTGCAGCTTGCCAAGTTTCCTTATTTGGCAAGAAGGTCCCTTAGTTCCCAAGATCTTTGACCATCCATTTTTAGATCCAAATCCTCCTGCTTAATATCTGGATATTTCTCTCTCTTTCTCTCTTTTTAATGTGTCTTATGTGTTCCGTAAAAGAGTAAGATGAAGAGATCAGTCATCTCTTTGCTTTCCTAGACAAGAAAAGGATCCTTCCCATTGCACTGTGGTCATTGACTCTAGAATCATCACCCACTGTAACTTTTGATTCAAACAGTATTTTCTAGGTCAAAAAAAAAAAAAAAAAAGCCTCCCAGAAAAGTTATAGTAGGAATTCTGTTGTGAGAGACTAAACTGTACACATTGCTTTATGAGGCCTTTTTCTTAATTTGCTCTTTCCAAACAAACCGGATTCGTGTTCATTTGCAATCTCCCAAATCTCTCCCACTGGCCGTAGCAGGAACTTTAAACAAAGGCTCTGCAAATGACCAAAACCATAATTAAAATGCATCCGTCAGACTTTTTTTTTTTTTGAAAAATCAAAAAAAACGACGTGAAATTTCACTGTGGAGATGGGCCTGTACTGCAGGCAAAAGTCATGGACTCTCTGGAATCACTTGCTTTTGTCTTTCAGCACGTCTGTGGGTTTGGATCCCCTGAACCCCGACTGTTCACTGCAACCGAGGTCACTGAAGCAGAAGGGCTCTGCCCTCACGCAGCCTCGGAGCTGAAAGCAGCACCCACGGTAGCGACCACCTCGCACGCATCCCGGACGTGGATCCCGCTACACTTCCTAACCCAGCGGCCTGCTGCGGATCCCGGGCTCGCCCCGAAGGCCGAAGGCCGGCGCTTTCGTTATTGAAGAAACTAACAGAACTGCGAGGTCCTCCCCGCCCCGGCTTCTGCGAGCCTCTCCGGCGCGGCAGAAACACACGCATGCAGCCTTCTGACACGGACGGCGCGGTCTGTGTCCCGCGCGCGTGTGCGCGTGCCTGTGCCTGTACCTGTGTGCGCGCGTGTGTACCTGTGCGTGTGCGCGTGCCTGTGCCTGTACCTGTGTGCGCGCGTGTGTACCTGTGCGTGTGCGCGTGCCTGTGCCTGTACCTGTGTGCGCGCGTGTGTACCTGTGCGTGTGCGCGTGCCTGTGCCTGTACCTGTGTGTGCGCGTGTGTGTACCTGTGTGCGTGCGTGTGCGCGCGTGTAAGGCAGTTCGGAGCCCTGTCGCCGGCCGGGCGTGCTGAAGTTGGTCTGCGAGCTGTCCGGGCCTCCGCGGGGCCGAGGGCGGAGGGCCGGGGCAGGGCTCGGGGCCCGGGGCGGGGGCGGGGGCCGGGTGCGGGCCGGGGGGCTGCCCGCTGTCCCGCGGAGGCCCGGCGGCGGCTCGCGGAGGGAGAAGGCGCCCGGGCGGCTCCCCCCCCCCCCCCCGCCCCGCGCAGCCCTCGGCTCGGGGCCGCCCGCGCCTGCGCCCCTCGGAGCCCCGCGCTGCGCCTCCCGGGCCCGGGTGGGCGGCGGCCAGGCGGGCGCTCGGCCCCGGGGGCGCGGGCCGGGCAGGGGCCGCGGCGGCGGCCGACGGCTGCGCCCGCCCTTCCGGACGCCAACCTCGCGGGGCCCTCGGGCGGCCGCCGGGAGCGCGGTCCCGGGGCGGGGCGGGGGCGGCCGGCGGGGCCGGAGGGGCCTGGGCCCGGGGGCGGGCGAGCGCCCCCCGTCGCCCCCGCGGCCCCGCGCGCTCCTTACCTGGCTCCCGGGCGGGGCGCGGCGGCGGCGGCGGCGGCGGCGGCGGCAGCAGCAGCAGCAGCCCGGGCGCCGAGGCCCCGCGCGGCGAGGGCGGGGGGGGGGGGACGGCGGCCCGCGCGGCTCCCACGCTTCCGCCCGAGTCAGGAGTTGAACATTCCGCCTCTCCGCCCGCGCCAATGAGCGAGCCGGCCGCGGCCACAGCACCACCTACCTCCGAGCGCGGGCGGGCTCCCGGCGGCACCCCCCGGCCGCACCGCACCGCGCCCGCACCCGCGCCCGCACCGCACCGCACCCGCACCCGCGCCCGCACCGCACCGCGCCCGGCGGGCCGAGCACCTGCCCGCGCGCCCAGCCCCGGCACGGGGGGCCCTGCGCTCCCGGCAGCCGCCTCTCGTGCTCGCGACGTGCCCCCGCGCCCCGGGCCTCGGCCGCAGACCTCGCCCTCCGCCGCCGCGCGGGGGAGCCGGGCCCAGCGGCGTCGGCGTCGGGCCCCGCGGCCTTGGGACGTCGCCAGCGGTTGGGGCCCCACCTGCCCCGGCGGGACGGTCCGCGAACACCTGGGGAATCGAGGAGGGGTCCTGGTCCGCCTCCCTGGTTGCTGACTTCACCTAAACGGAGTTCCGACGAGGACGCTGGCATCCGCTCCAGGCGTGAGCAAACGTGGCACCGCGTATGGGGAAGAAAAGTGTGGATTGGGCAGGATGGTCCTGCGGAGGAGGAGTGAGGCGAGGGTCGCCGAGGGGCTGACGGCGTCATCCAAGGGTTTGAGTTTGCAATTGTGCCATCTACGGGCACCGCGGGAAGTTAGAGTCAAAGGGTTAAAATAGGAGTTTGTGTCTGCCCAGTGGTGGGGACAGAGAGAGGGAGCGCGCGAGCAGGCCACGTGGTTGCAGGATGCGTTGCTGGGGCGCAACTGGGAAGCAGGAGAGAGGTAAATACTGTCACCACCGGTAGTGGGGTCGTGCGGGCCTGAGCAGCGCAGGAAATGGAGCTGGGAAAGGGGGAATGGAATCGAGAGACCTGTCTCAGGAGGAGGCCACAGAAGCTGGGGGTGTGGAAGAGAAGGAGGAAAGAGTCAGAGGTGATGCCAAGGTTTCAGACCTGGGTGACTGGAAGAGCGATGGTGTCATTGACAGAAATAGGGATATGTCGGGGAGAAGCTGGCTTCCTGCTGAGTCCGAGGTCATGGGAGGAAAAACAGGTAGAGATGCAGCCCTGGAAATATGAAACGGAGACTCAGAAAAGAGGTCATGGGAGAAAGAGCCTTGTAAATGGTCGGTTCAAAACATGAAAGCGGAGGGATGGGTGAATATAAGCTAGAAACACCACTCTCTAGACTGTTATTTAAGTTATCAGGGATCCCTGGTGGCCCAGTGGTTTGGCGCCCGCCTTCGGCCCAGGCCTGTTCCTGGAGACCCAGGATCGAGCCCCACATCGGGCTCCCTGCATGGAGCCTGCTTCTCCTTCTGCCTGTGTCTCTGCCTCTCTCTCTCTCTCTCTCTCTCTCTCTCTCTCTCTCCCTGTGTCTCTCAAGAATAAATAAATAAAATCTAAAAAAAAAAAAAAAAAAAAATCGAACGTTCCCGGTGGTGAGAACTAGCAACTTTAGTACTTTAGTACTGATTGATTCTGTATCAGTAGGATTGATGGAAACTGTCATACTAACAGAATTCCTGATCCAATAATTCTCAAAATCACCTAAACAAGAAAGAGTAAAGTAAGACTCCAGGATACACCCACGTAAAACGTGACTCCAGTCATGCTACCTCACAAGGCACAGACGCTAGGCTAGGAATCAGAGAACCCGGCTTCTCGTCTGTCTTCTGCCTCCGATCAGCTGGGGTACTTTGCTAGACCAGCCTCGGTTTTCTCCTTTGCAAAATAAGTGGGCCCAATCGGATGTCAGCCACAGGCTCCAGCTTTAAAAGTGTGAATGTATTACTTTAAATTTGGAACACAAGCCTTAAGAGTCTTCATATTTTCAGCACATCCCCCTTTTCATGCCTTTTTTTTTTCCTTCATTCTATTTCCCCTACATAATTAGGCAAAGAGAATAACCAGCAGGGATGGAGAACACTGAAGAGCAGTTTCACAAATGTGCTTAAATGATAAACCGGTAGGCATTCTCTTATCTTCCCAAATAGGTTGCAAGTTCCTTGAAGTCATAATCTTATAGTGTGTCTTATCTGCCCACAGCTGAAATAAATGCATCATTATGTGATAAACTGGTTGCCTCAAGTCTGACTCTCCGGTCAAATGGCCCGTTTCCTTATGACTATACCGATCTCTTTAAACCCCAGACCTAATAAATATAGTCTAGTGCTTATTCCCATGGCTGACTCTGGTTTTTCAAACTTCCAAATCTTTTTCGGAGGGCCCGTTGGTTAATTCTCACCTGCATAGGTTTACCGATGTAAATAGCAATAGCCAAAAAGACCTAGCCAAACCTCTCTTATCAAGCCTTTCTGTTCCTTTACTTCAAATGTCTCCACACTAAAAATAGATGTACTCTCAGCAGTGGGGTGGATTGGGAGTCCTTAGCACCCTCTTATATCCAAGAACACCCTCCAAAATAAATATGCAATGTCAGTAAAAACCAGTGTATTTGCTATGCAAATAGAGCTTTAAAAAAGTCTCCTGGTCCCCCATTCCCATTGCTGTCCCTAAGCTCCTCTCGAACAGAAATTCTGGAACTGCCACCGGCTATCGGTGGATCAGAGAAGTGCAGACATAAATTCTATTAAGGATAGAAGGAAAGGCAATCTACAAGGAAGAAAGCTTTCTGATTATCCTTCCCTCCCTTTGTGGTGATGAGAGCTCTGAGGCACGCTGGTACCCAGGAGTATTTTCTCTAGCCATCTCCGTCCCCCATGGCAGACTGTGAGTGGCCTGTGTCTAGATCATAGCTAAGAATGACCAGCTTTTACACAAAGGTTGGTGTTCTCCCTCCTGCACCACGCTGGATCCCTGAGAAATGAAGGCACACAGTCACACATCCTTTAAGATAAGCAACCATGACCTTAAAATGATGAATAAAGCCCGGGTCATTGTTTGAACTTAGCTTTCACATCTAACTTAAGGATGGAAGAATTTATGAGAATATTTCAGGTGCCAAACTTGCTTGAATGTTCCAGGGCATGAAAGGAGGAATAGGGCAAGAAGAAAAATTGGGGGCTTTTATTAAATTTGTTCAAAAAGCATTTACTGAATGACAGGCACTGCGCTGAACTGTAATTATAACAGTGACCAAGACGTGGTCTCTGTTCTCACAGTTTGCTGAGTGCAATGGAGGGTATTATGCTGAGTGAAATAAGTCAATCGGAGAAAGACCATTATCATATGGTTTCACTCATATGTGGAATATAAGAAATAATGAAAGGGACCATAAGGGAAGGAGGGGAAACTGGAGAAAAATTAGAGAGGAAGACAAACCATGAGAGACTCCTAACTCTGGGAAACAAAGGATTCTGAAAGGGGAGGTGGGTAGGGGATGGCTTAACTGGGTGACAGCATTAATGAGGGCATGTGATGGGATGAGCACTGGGGCTTATACTATATGTTGGCAAATTGAAATAAAATTAAAATAATAAAATAAAATAAATAAAATAAGGACGTCTGGGTGGCTCAGCAGTTTGGTACCTGCCTTCGGCCCAGGGCGTGATCCTGGAGTCCAGGGATCGAGTCCCGCATCGGGCTCCCTGCAGGGAGCCTGCTTCTCCCTCTGCCTGTGTCTCTGCCCCTCTCTCTGTATCTCTCATGAATAAATAAAATATTTTTAAAAATAAAATAAAATAGAAAGGCCAGAAAAGACACAAGTGATTATTCTGTGGTGTGCTTTTAAGAAGGCAAGGATGTGGGGTTACAGCAGGGCATGGAACACAGTTTTGAGAGGTCAAAGAACCTCTATGTCCACAGGAGAAGAATGAAGTGAATTTGCTAGACAGAAATGTGGGAAAGGTATTATAGGCAAAGGGAACAAGAAGTACAAATGCACAAGAACATTTAACAAGTTCAAGGAATAAATCCTTCAGATATCTGAGAAAAGGCATTGCCGGGAGGGAGTAATTGTCCTCATGATGGTAGTAATAGTAGCCTACTACAAGAAGAATAATGATCATGGCAATAATAATAGTGATGACTTCTATTCACTGGGTGCTCACGTGCTATGCACTGAACTAAGAGTTTTATACCCACTCTTCATCTGACCTTCACCATGACCCCAGCAGGGAATTGGAATCATCATCCCACGCTGTAGGGCAGGAAAAAGTCCTGGAAAGCTTTAGCAACTTGTTTCCCTCAGGGAGCAAGAGGTGGACTTTAGGGCTTGTTCTTTTAGATCAAGCAATTTTCCAACTTTTTGGTCTCAGGAATCCTTTACACTCTAGAGTGCTTGAGGGTGCCAAATAGTTTTTGGCCAGGTAAGTTATACCTCTCAATATTTATCACAGTAGAAATCAAAACAGAAATGTCTTTATTTAAAACTCACTTATGCCAGCCAAAATAATGCGATTTAATGAAAAACAAATACTGTGCAAACTAAAAGTAGTGAGAAGAAAGAATGTCATTGTTTTATATTCTTGCAAATCTCTCCGTCTGGCCTAAAAGAAGACAATTGGATTCTCAGATCTGCTTCTGCATTCCAAGCATTCCAGTAGGACACCACACGTCTGGGAGAGTCGACTGTTCACTCCTAAGAGAGAACAGTGAAAATAACACCTTAGTATCTTTCTGAGATGAGTTTTGACCTCACAGACTTGCTGAAGGGGCTCCCAGAGTGCATTTGGAGAACTGCTGTTTTAACGAGTCTGAGGTGCTCCTTGAGCTGAAGAGAACCAGTTGCCTTGTGTCCTTCTTGCCTCAAGATGCAGCGTCACAGGGCAGCCGCCCAGAATAGGAAAGAGAGCACTTTGCTAGACCTCAGCTAATCTGGGATGTGGTGCCAGCCCTGGCCCTAAGCGGCTCTCACGTAGTTGGGACCATACTGCTCGATGGTCCTGTGCGATGATGAAGGCCTACTCGCCCAACTCCCGAGTCCTATGCACTCCTTACTCTTTGCTATTGTTTGCTGGGCTATTCTTTAACGTCCTAGA